GGAACCCACTCGGCCTGGGCTGTCCCAGGTTTAAACAAAGTCCAGGGCGGTTGGTCACCTTACGTGTCACCTGGGTGTGGGGTCAGGCCTGCTGGGGTCTCACCTGCCCTCCCTCTACCCCCTGCAGAGAGGCCTTACGTACCCCCAGGCTGGCTGCGTGCACCCCACCCTACCAGCATCCCAGGTGTCTCCCCCCAAACCCCCTCACGCCCCGAGCACTGGGGCGGCCTGACTCCTCAAGACTGGAACTCCCCACGGCTGGGGGCCGGGTGCCCCACGGGAAGCTTGAGGGAACCCCAAGGCCAGCAGGAGCGGGACATCCCAGCTTGGGGCCGGGGCCACCTCCAGGTCCCTGGGATCCCCTGGGGTCTGCCCCTAAGACCAATCAGGGGACTCTCCTTGGTGACTCCCCTGGTCTGTGGGTCTTGTCTCTCTTTGGGGAACCTGCCTCAGTTTCCCTCTGCCTCGGGCCTAACCCACAGACCCAGATGGGCAGGGGCTGAGGAGCCTCTGCGGCCCCCCCGAGGCCCACAAACTTTTGAAATGTGTATTACATATATAATTTAAGTTTTATATATTTTATATATATATAATGAGATTAACCCAGCACGGGAAAAAGTAGCCTTGGGGGAGGGGAAGAACTACAATTACAGGGAAAATTGTGCTCTGAGTGCCTCAGGATAACTGATTTTTTTAAAAACAACAAAAAGTTTTTTAAGTAGAATAATTTTATATAAGTGTCAACACAGCTGGCTGAATTCTTTGGGATTTTTAATAACGATCCTCTAAAGTCGATTTGGAGACCTGTACATAACAGCACTGTAGCAATAAATGTGACATTTTATGACAATACTCTGCTGTCCCTGGATCTTTCAGCTGCTGTGTGCTTACAGATGAAAAGAGGGGTTGGGAAGGTGGTGCCCCCGGTGTCGGTGTCGGCGTAGGCGCTCACTAGGTGGCCTGAGTACATCCCACCAAGGATGGCCCGGGGTGTTGTGGACTTATCCGCACTGCACATCTGGACAGCTAAAACAGCTCGGCGGGCGGGCAGGGGGCTTGGAAACCACAGGAATCTGTTCTTACACATTCTGCAGGCCAAATGTCCCAGGTCCAGGTGTGGTAGGGCCGCGTTCCCTCCTGACCACCACCCCCCCCCAGGAGAGTCCTTCCTGCCTGCCTCTTCCAGCTTCTGGGGGCCTCAGGTGTGCCTCGGTTTGCAGCCGCATCACCCTGATCTCCACCTCCATCTTCAGGTGGCCTCTCCCTGTGTGTCTTGTGTCCAGGTGTCCCTCCTACACACACACCTGTCATTGCCTTAGGGCCGCAAAATCTCTAGCATGACCTCATCTTAACCAATCACATCTGCAAAGACCTTATTTCCAAATAAGGTCCCGTTCACAGGTAGCGGGTGGGGGGTGGTCAAGACTTGAACATGTCCTCTTGGGAGGACACAGTTCAGCCCTCAACCGGGGTTTGATGGGGTGGTGGTGAGCAAGGCCGCAGACACTGGGAAAGGTGGCCACGGTGATTCCTTGTTCTAGAAGCAAAGTTCCTCGGGCAAAGCCAGGGAACTGCACTTGGAATAAGGGCTCCCGGGATGTGGAAGCTGACTGGCTCCTGGCAGAAGGCCACTCCCTGAGTTAGTATGTATGTATGTATGTATGTATGTATTTTAACATCTTTATTGGATCCCAATGCAGGGGGCCCAGGTTCTATCCCTGGTTAGCGAACTAGATCCCACATGCCTCAACTAAGACCTGGCACGGCCAAATAAATAAATTAAAATAAATAAAAAAATAAATATTTTAAAATAAATAATGTAATACACCAAAACCCACTGAATGATTGATGCACACTGAATGGGTGAATTGTATGGTGTGTGGATTATATCTCAATACAGGTGTCTAAAAATATCTTAAAGGTGCCAAAATCCTTATCCAGGGAGGCGTCGCCTCTCTGTCCCGGCAGGGGTTGGCTCCATGAAAATTTCTTGAAGGAGCATCTGCTTGACTCAGGTCAGAGAAATCTGGTGGCAGGGGGTTGGGCACAGGGAAACTGGGGCGGTGGATGTGTGTGTGGCTTGACAGTGCCAGTGGTGTCGCAGGTGTGTTCCTGAGTCCAAGCCTTTCAAAGCCTGTGGCTCCCCATCTGCTGGATGCCCACCGGGCCCTCCAGGGCTGACAGAGAACGCGCAGAGCCCGGTCCTGGAACAGCCCTGACACCCACAGGCCAGGGAGGGAAGGGACATGCCTGACTGAGACAGATGGTGCCGGGCTGCAGCAGGGTGATGGGAACCACAAAAGAAAGGCCCACGTCCTGACCTGTGAATGGCACCCTATTTTGAAAAAGGGTCTTTGCAGATGTAATCAAGTTAAGGATCTCAAGATCATCCTGGATTAGGGTGACCCCCAAATCAATGACAAGTGTCCTTATAAGAGACAGAAGACAAGAGACACAGACGAGAAGCCACGTGACAACAGGCTGGAGGGATGCAGCCACAAGCCAAGGGATGCCGGGGTGGGGTGGGGGCGGGGTGGCAGGGGACAGAAGCTGGAAGAGGCAGAAAGGACCCTCCCTTGGAGCCTCTGGAGGGACCACAGCCCTGTGACACCTTGATCTCAGACATATGGTCTCCAGAACTGGAAGAGGATAAACCCCTGTTGCTTTAAGCCACCCAGCTTGTGGTCATTTGTCACGCAGCCACAGGAAATTAATAGCATCTGTGCCCTTTTTTAAAACGGCAAAACATCCAAACGCAACAGGGACTCTTCATACCTCGCTGGTCGGAACACAAACAGATACAAGGACTTTGGAAAAGACTTTGGCGGTGCACCTGAAACTAACATGTTACACATCAATTACACCTCAACAATAATAAAAGCCTGTGGCAGTTTCTTCTACAGTTAAACATAAGCCTCCCCTACAAGTCAGCCAGCAGCCAGTCCACCCCAGTCATCCACCCAAGAGACACAAAGACACATGTCCACACAAAGACCTGGATGCAACTGCTCATTGCAGATTCCTTTCCCATCGCCAAAACGTGGAAACCACCCAAATGTCCTTCAACAGGTCAGTGGGTAAACACAAGGGTCCACCCACTCCATGGTCCACGACTCAGCAGTGGAAAGAATGAAACTCTGACGGAAACAATGGCTTGGATGATTCAAAATAGCTACGCTGCGTGGACAAAGCCAGACACCAAACAGAACATACTCTATGATTCTCGGTAGAAAAGTCTAGAAAATGCAGACTAATTCACAGTACCGTGGTTGTAGGGGCTGGAGGGGGGAGTGGGTGGGGTCCCAAAGGGGCAGGAGGAAACTTCCAGGGGACGAGGGGGAGGTGTTCATTATCTCCACACTGTGATGGTTTCATGGGTGTGCACCTATGTCGAAATACCAAGTTGTATGTTTTAAATACGTGCATTTTTGTAGGTCAAGTATACATCAGTAAAGTTGTAAAAATTGTAAAAGAAAAGAATCCAACAGATGAACGGATAAACACCATGTGGTCCCTCCACACAGGGGAACATCACTCAGCCATGAAAAGGGGTGAAGCCCTGACACTCGCTACAGTGTGGATGGACCTTGAGAACACGACGCTCAGTGAGAGAAGCCAGACACAGAAGGACACACAGGGTGTGATTCCATTGATGGGAAACGTCCAGAACAAGCAGATGCATAGACAGAGAGTGAATTCCTGGTTGTCAAGGGCTGGGAAGGGGGTGAGGGGTGGGGTGACTGCTGATGAGGACGGGGCTTCTATTGGGGTGATGGAATGTTCTGGAATTAGATGGAGGTGGTGGTCGCACAACCTTGTGAATGTACTAAAGACCACTGAATTCTACACTTTACAATGGTTAATTGTATGTTATGTGAATTTCACATTGATGAAGACAAGAAAAGTCGTTCCCTTTCCTGAGGGCCAGATAGGGATCCTGCATGGAACCCAGGAGGCCAGGGCAGAGGGCCAGCAGGGTGCGAGCGGGGCCAACCGTTCTTGCTTATCCACCATCTCTTCTGGTCACAGAATCCTGGTATTTTCTTTTGGGGATTCTCCTCCAATTTCAGCCCACATCCTCAAATGAGAGGGGCCAACTCTGCCCTGTTTCCACAGCACGCGAATGAGAAGCAGCTTGGGGGCATTTTCTGTGATTATTGGGAAAGAGGTGCCATCTTCCTGCAAGGGTTGCTGTAATGTCAACCAAGAGTTTCTGGGTGCCTCTGCTCAGAGTTCACCACAGAGTAAGGGCAACACAGAGGAAAGAAGAGCTGAGAGATAGAGAGAAGATTCGTAATCATATTGCTAGACTCCTGGATGCAGCTGTGCCTGAAGCCATCTAACATGCCACAGAACTTCCTTCTGTTCTCTTAAGCCAGTTTTTGTTCTTCGTTTATCACTTGAAATGAAAAGCATTCTGCCTCGTGAGCTGAAGTGCATTAAGCAGAAGGAACAATGCGGCAGAGCTTCAGAAACTGCTGGATCCAGGACCTGCAGCCCCAAGGCCTCTATGCCCACCTCTGCTCATCTTTTCACGCAGGTCTAGTCTCTGTCTCATGATTTCTAATCTCTGTCTCAGATTCTACAATCTCCAGGGTGGCCCCTACATCCCACTTTTTAAGTTTCCATCGAGGACAGAGACTTAATTCAGGTCCTCTCTGATCCCAAGCTCAAAAATCCCAGGGCAACTGGAAAGGCGGAGAAACAATGTCCAACTCAATAGCAACGAGCACCCCTCCTGCCCAGACCATGGTCTCCAACCAACCCCATGGTCGGAGGCCAGGGCTAGGTGAGAACCTGCAGCCCTCTGGGAACCGCAGTCTTGGAGGGTGCCGAGAGGCCGATCCCAGCAGGATGGGCTGGGCTGGGCAGACAAACCCCACAGTGTCCAGTCCGCATCTCCAAGGCTGCATTCGACGCTGGGACCCCGGAGGCGGTGAAAGGAGAAGGCGAGCCCGAGCGAGCCTGGGGCGGCGGAAAGCCGAGGGAGGAGGACCCACCTGTCCTGGGTCCATCAGCTAACAGGTGGCATCCTGAATGTTGACAGCGCGAGGAACCAGGCCTCCCTCTGCTGCCGGAATGAGGAATCACTCCCAATCGAAACGTGCAAACAATTTGCCACCGAGCCTCTGAGCAACAGACAACAAAATGCCAGCAAACCGAGGCTCGGGGAAGCGCTGTCATCTGGCCAAGGTCCCACACACAGCGAGTCCAGTGACAACGCCTAATTCCTCCAAAAGGGAGTTCAAATCCCACCCTTCCCCTCTGTGCGACTCTGGGCTTAACCCTTCCCTGTTTGGCCTGTTTCTTTAACTGTAAATAAAGTTCTGGCACGTAATAAGGACACAAACTCACCAGTCAAATGTCGCGGGCCACACTTATTCGCTGGACGTTGCGCAGCTTGGGGCCACTCTGACCGCCGGAGCGGAGAGGCAGACCCCGCGTACTCACGTCACGTGGTCAGAAAGCCCCGCCTCCCTGGCCCGCCCACTCTAGTCTGCGTTCTTCAGACCCTCCCCGGAAGTGAGTGCAAATATTTTCCGAGTCTGCGCGCGCAGCGGCGGCGGTCCCCGGATCTCGAGCGGTCAGCCCGCCTGGGCTGGGCTGGGCCGGGCAGGGCGGGGCGGGGCCTCCCTGCGGGCCTGCGCGCTGCTGGGGCCGCGCCTGCGCAGTGCGCCCGAGCCGGAGGGGCCAGGGTCACCCTGAGCTGAGACGGCGCCGCTATGTTGGAACGGTTCGTGGGCCCGCGCTACCGCCAGCTGGCCAGAAACTGGTGAGGATGCGGCTACCGCCCCCGGACCCCTTGTCCTCCCAGGTCCCAAATGGGGAAACTGAGGCACAGAGCGGCGGCGCGGTCTGCCCCGCGAGTGGCTGGCCCCCAACCCTGAGGCGCTTTGCCTGGGGGCCGCGATGGTGCCCACCCAGTCCGCGCCCAGCACCCCCGGCTCAGCTCCTGGAGCTGGAAACTGACCCTATGCGCTCCTGGCTTTGCTTTTGTTTGACGTTGTTGTGAAGCCGAGGGCTGCGCCTGTCCTTGACTGACCCCCGTGGGAGGCGGGTGGGATGGGGGTGACCCCACGTGGCAGCCGGGATTGGGGAGCACACGACGTGAGGCGCTGAGAAACAGCGGGCCTGTACTCCGCAGTCGTGTCCCTGAGCCCCGGCAGGGACCTTCGGGTGGACAGTGACAGTGGCGCTTTACAGCTGGGGCGACCCAGGCTCAGGACGAAAGTCCGTCCCTGGCGTCGGGTGGGACCGCCAGCGGCCCCTGCAGCCCCTACCGCGGGCGGCTCGAGCCTCCGGGCGCTGTCGGTCCGTCCCTATCTGCGCGTGGTCAGAGCAGCGACCCCCTCATCCAGGGTTTCGTTCAGTCGGCAGCAGCACCCACTGAGCAACTGATGTGTGCTCGCACTTACTACTGAGTCGGGTGCCGGAGACACAGCGATAAACGGAACTTTCCTGGCTGACGCTCTAGGTCGTGGACCAGAAAAAAATTAAACCGATGTGATCCACGGCATGAGGTTGATGTAAAGTAATAAAGGGTGTGGGTGCAGTCCTGTCCCACCCACACTGGCTTCCTGAGGCCAGGAAGCGGGACTCACCCCCAGGAGACACTATGGAGTTGTGGGGTCTCAGTCTCGGAGCATCCGCGCTCACCAGCGGGGTACTCTGCACTCAGCTCCTCCGGGCGTCTTCCTGTGAGGAGGGGGAGGAGAGGTGGTGAGGGTGTAAAGAAGTCCCACGAGGGACTGTCAGCAGCATCATCACCTTCGGTGCCCCGTGGAGGTCAGGCGTGTGGCCACCTCCCTCTCTGTGAGCTGCACCGGGCCCCAAGGGTAGTGGCCAGGATGATGGCGGGGCGGGGCGGAGGGGGGCGGGCGGTGGAGGCCTCCCTGAGGGCAGGCTCCTCTGACCTCAGCACCCCTCAAAGCTGTTGGGCAGTGAGAGGAAAGATTCCCTCTGTGTTCGTGACACCTGCCCCAGAGCCTGTTCCAAAAGCAGCAATAACCCGGGACCCCACCAAGGCGCAAAGTTGAGTTGTACGGGCCTCTCCCCAGGGTCTCCCCAGGGAGCAGGGGGTGTCGTTGGTGAGGCAGGTTGGGGAGGGGGTGTTGCTGCTTCCATCTCTCCACCCCAACACCCCAGGCCCATGGGTTATGGCGATCCGGTGAAGTGGGCACGCATGCACAAATTCTGCCTCTGCACAGACCAGCGATGGAGCCTGTGAGAGTTCTCTGTCGCTGCATAACAAAGAGCCCACCAAATGCAGCAGCTTTGCAGACATTCATTGTCAGTTACTGTGGGTCAGGAATTGGAACACAGCTGAGTCCCCTGCTCAGTGTCTCATCTGAAGGCTTTACTGGAGGATGTGTTTCCAGGTCACACCTGTGGTTGCAGCAGGGGGCCACCCTCAATCCTCTGCCACAGGGGCCCCTCTACAGGGCAGCTCACAAACTAGCAGCTGGCTCCCCGCAGAGAGGGTAAGAGCAAATGAGCACGCCCTGACGGAGCCAGTCCCTAAAAGTCCATCTCAAAAGTGACATTCCCTCGCGGTCCGGTCCAGTGGTTAGGACTCGGCGCCTTCACTGCCGGGGCCTGGGTTCAATCCCTGGTCGGGTAACTAAGATCCCGTAAGCCGTGTGGTGCGGCCAAAGAAAACCAAACCAAAACGAAAGAAGTGACAGCCCATCATCTCTCATATTTGATTTATCAGAGGCGAGTGACTGGATCCTGCCGACCTCAAGGGGAGGGGCTGTACAGGGGTGTGAACACCAGGAGGTGGGACTATTGGGGCCGTCCTGGACCCTGCCCATCAATGGACGTAAATGTGGAGTGTGGTGGTCTTGGAGTCCCTGCCTCGGCTCTGCACACGGTGGGCTGTGTGTCTCGGGGGCATGGCTTGCCCTCTCTGTGCCTTGGTCTCATCTGTGAGACAGGGACCCTGATAACTCACACCTCCCTCAGTCCATCGGCTGTCTCAGGGATCGAGCTGCTGCAAACCACATTAACGTGCCTACCTGCAAAGTTTAGATATCCTTATGCTTTACAAGCTTGGGCTTTTTTTTTTTTTTTTTTAGTGGAATTCCTCAAATAAAACCTTAATCAGGGACTTCCCTGGTGGCGCAGTGGTTAAGAGTCTGCCTCCCAAAAAAAAAAAAAAAAGAGTCTGCCTCCCAGTGCAGGGGACCACGGGTTCGAGCCCTGGTCCGGGAAGATCCCACATGCCACGGAGCAACGAAGCCCGTGTGCCACAACTACTGGGCCTGCACTCTAGAGCCCGCGAGCCACAACTACCGAGCCCACGTGATACAACTACTGAAGCCCGCACGCTCACAGCCCGTGCTCTGCAACGAGAAGCCACCGCAACAAGAGAAGCCACCGCAATGAGAAGCCCGTGCACCGCAACTAGAGGAAGCCCGTGTGCAGCAACGAAGACCCAGTGCAGCCAAAAATAAATAAATAAATTTACTAAAAAAACAACAAAAAAACCCCTCATGCATATCCTCATATGAAAGCAGATGGGAATGGAGTTGCCTCAGGGTCACTTGCCTGGTGCCTGCCCTCGGGGTCATCAGCAGGATGTGTCCACAAAGCTGGGCAGGGCCCGGTGTGTGGGGGTGGTGTGGGCACCACTGATAAATGGCAGCTTGGGATGGGGGGGATCCGGCCACGCTACCGGGAGGGTGAGGCCTGACCCCCGTTCTTGCAGGTTACCCACAGTGGGCATGTGGGGCACCGTGGGAGCCCTGGGGCTGGTGTGGGCCACTGACTGGCGGCTGATTCTGGACTGGGTGCCCTACATCAACGGCAAGTTCAAGAAGGACGATTAATTAAACCCATCCCCCTCGGACCCCTCCGGTAAGTTTCAGCAGCTGTCGGCTGGTGTAGCCCGGGATTCCTGAGCAGCAGAGGGGCAGTGTTCCCCGCAGGTCCAGGGCTGGACCGGCAGGTGTTGGGGGCACACCTGGAGAACCCTGCCTGAGGGCGGAGCCCTGCACTAGCCTCCTGCCTGGTGGCGCAGAGCTGCCAGCCAGCAGCCTCGGTTTGTGGGGCTGGGGAGTGGGCGCTGCCCCTCGGGGCTCAGTCCTGGAGGCTGAGCCTGCACCCTGGGTGGGGCGGAGGGATGCCCCGTTTTACAGACAGGAAAGTGGAGGCTGGCCTCCCTGGGCGGGCTGCTATGAGCACTGACGAGCCTGGCGCTGTGCTGCCCACCTGACAGCCCAGAGTGCACGCGCATCCCCATTTCACAGACTCCTAAGTAGCACAGCCAGATCTGGTGTTAGAGCCTGTCGGCGGCGTCTGTGCTCTTACTGGGCGCTCAGCATCTGCTGCTCACCCTGCTTCATTCCCCCTCCAGGTGTCTGGTGGTGCTGCCCCCTTCCATCTGCATCTGGAACGGCCCAGGCTCTTGGGATTGACCTCGAGGAAATACACGGCGCGAGTTAGGTTTCCTACGTTGGTGGAAATAACTTTGGTGTGTGAACACACATGGCATTAAACCTCACCCTGAAACCTGCTGGCCTGCACGTGCTCATGCTGGGGCTTGGTTATGTTGACTGCAGGCCCAGGGGCCCAGATGACCCGGGGAGCCTTTCAACTCCAAAACTGCAAATCTGCAGTTTCCCAGCGGCTGGCAGACATGGTTTGATTACTTCAGATGTTTAGTGGATAATACCTGCACGGGGTTTTTATCGATTGCTGCCTTAAAAAGTTACCCTTGACCTAGTGGCTCCAGACGAACATTCATTATCTCTCAGCGAGAATTTGGGCGTGATCTGTCGGGGGGGTCTTGGCTGAGGCTCCCTCATGAGGTTGCAGTGGTGGCATCGGCTGCATGATGAAGGGTGGCACCGGGGTGGGGTGGGGAGTCGGGGCTTCCCGGAGGCCCCCTCACGTGGCTCCTCCCCACGTGGGCCTCCCAGACGCTGCTTGAGCCTCTCTACTACACAGCGGCCCGAGAGCAGGCAGGGAAGAGCCTCTGTGCCTTTTATGACCTACTCAGGACTCTCAGGCCATCTCCTGCTCCACACCTTATTCGGGAGGAGAATTAGGCTCTGTGCCTTGAAGGAGGAACATCAGAACCTGTAGACGTGTTAAACCATCACCGGGGATACAAAAATGAGCGGGTACACGAGGATATACTGCATACAGGCAGTTCCCTCCAACTCCTGCCAAGTTCCGGAAAATTCTAGAAACGTTCTATTTGTGAAGAAGAGCTATTTTATTAGTCTGTTTGGGCTGCCACAACAAAACACAGGCCAGGCAGCTTAAGCTACAGAATGAGTGTCTCACAGTTCTGGAGGCTGGAAGTCTGAGCTCAGTTCTGGCAGGGTTGGTTCCTGGCGAG